GTAATGCGTGTGTAGAATCAAGCGGAGGGAATTTTGAAAATTTGTTATATGTTGTGTTGAGGTACAACGATGGCCTTTTAAACTTATCTTTATAGGAACATTTTACCTTGTTTGGGTGTCAGGAACCCGCCCCCAAAGTTTGTAAAAGTATTTTGATACACCCTATATATATATATATATATATATATATATATATATATATATATATATATAATCGTTTAATTATAAGTAGCTAGTATGATTTTGTAGTTGGTTAACAGTGATAGAGTATAAATTTCTTCGCGTGGTTGCATTTGTATGAGTTTTCGGTTCTCCTATTTAACAAAATATTAGGTGGTTGGTTGGGGTGAATGGCTTATTTCTCTTTCGTGCATCACCGTCAAAAATTAACACCTGTATTATTTGGGACACGCTTAATGATTTCCGATTTTGATAACGGATCTACGTGATATTTTAGTTTCATGTCCCAAATATAGCTAGACAATGTAGTGGAATTTTTTTTTTATTTTCTAGAGTAAAAAAACCACCTGTTTTTTTTACAACGTCATTCCTCAAAGGTTAACATTATATGTCGTCTGATGATTCTCTCGCTGAGTGTAGCGATTTAAAAAAAATCGATTTTATATCGGCATTTTACTGTTTTTATTTTTTAATCATTTCACAACAAGCAAGGCGATAAAGCCACTAAGACTCCAAAGGTTACTGAGAGTGAAAGAAAATGAATAAACGTTAGTGGTGGTGGTGGGGGAAAGGACAATAAAAGAACAGGAATCACACAGACGAAACTTTTCTGAAGATCGTAGTTTATAGGAAAGCAAGAAGCCGGAAGAGAGGGAAGCACATTTTCTCGTGCAGGTTATTTTTCTCGAAAGCCATTATCTGCTCAGCTCCGCTACCAGAAAAGTAAACAAAGCTATTTCTAAAGAATTCTTCTTCATGTTCCGTGTCTCCTCATGTTGTAGGCGATCATGGCTCTCCACGACTTCCTGTCCCTTAACAGCTCTTAATAAACTTTGTATTTCTGTTATTTCCCCTAAGCTCAGTTCCGTCATCCATTTACTCAAGGTCACTAAGTATGTTATGCTTTGCTTCCCTCTGTTTCTCTTGCCCTCAATCTGTCCTGTGAGTATCAGATTTTCCAAGCCCTCCTTCCTCATTATGTGCCACAGAATCCTCTACGTTACAAACTTATAAGTTTTGAAGGTTGAAGGTTGTGATCTGCTTTTTTAGAGCTCTCATGAAATAAAAATTATCACCTATGGGGTTTTAGATGTTTGATATTCTTTAATTAATAATAATAATAATAGTAATAATAATAATAATAATAATAATATATATATATATATATATATATATATATATATATATATATATATATATATATATACATTGCAGACTGATGTAGGGTGTCGTGATTACTTATCCTTTTCGTCGCTTTCTTTTTCCTCTTTTTTTACACTTACTCCTTTACTGTTTTTTCTTTTTTTTTCTGTAGGGATGCTGTAAGTTTCGTGGCTCGACAATGTTTAGCAATTTGGTCAGATATATATTATCACTTTAAACCTTATTTTTGGTGGATACTAATATTTGAGTATGTATGTATATATGTATGTATGTGTTCTGGGGAGGTTTTACTTGGCCACGAGTCAACTTCCAACATATATGTATATAAGCGTATCTGGCCTGGAAAAAAAAACTGTCGACTTATACAGAGATTTATCAGGAAATTTCTTACATCGATTCTTTGTTTTGTTTTGTTTTTCTTTTTTTTTTTTTGGTTGCACTTAAACAGATTCAAAATCTGCAATAAAGAATTAAGAATGCATTAAAAAACATTAAAAATATCAGCGTAAATCCCACGTATAACATAAAGCAGAGGTTTTAGACCTTTTTGCTGGAGCGGAACCACAAGGAAACATTCCAGTGGTTCAAGGAACCCCTGCAATAAATTGTCTTATGCAAAAAAAAAAAAAAAAAAAGCTTTCAATTATTAAGCTAAAATAAAAATACTCATCTTCAGATTTATTTACAAAAAAATACAAACTGTAAAAATATTGTCTACGTCCATATGCAATTTTAATCTTGCTTATACGGTTATTACACATGTATTAAAAAAAACTTCCGTTTAAATGGATTACATTTATTTTCATTAAAAATTCAATGAGAAACTTGAGCCTGATGTTTCTTGAACAAATCTTTAATATTGGGTCGTGTTTTTCACAGACACACACAAAGTTCATCTTCCACACATATCTGCAGAGGAGAATTAAAAATTACTGTCAATCATAGGACTTGTGTAACTTCTTGCGGAACCCCTGGGCTTTACTGGCGGAATGCTAGGGTTCCGCGGAACCCTGGTTGAAAACCACTGACCTAAAGCATCGCCGGTGCTTTTTTGAAGTTGTTTATATTTGAGTGTCGCATTTTTAACCAAATCCACTGAGATAAAATAGTAATTATTAATTTTATTGAAAAAAAAAAGGAAAGCTTCTCTGTAATGCCCACCCGGAGTTTTTTTTAAGATTAAATTTGGCGTTCGTTACTCATAAAGATTACTAAAGTTGATTGCTATATTAAATTTTATTGACTAAATTTCACTTTTTTCCCCCAAATATGTCACTATTTACTGTTAAGAATAATATTCCAACATAAATAAAGAAACCGTTTTTATCGAATATATTCGTGCATAAGTCGATGTAACGTTCAGGTAGGTCCTGAATTTTGAGGTCAAATAATCAGTAATTTAGGATATACTTTGTGAATAGGTCGACCTCGATTTATTTATTTTTAGGTTAGTTGAACAATAAATTAGCACAATAAAGCGCCCTAGTTTATGGATATATATATATATATATATATATATATATATATATATATGATTTCAAGGAACTTTGATCACAAATCCGTACAAACGTCAAAGTCAAAATGATTTATTCTATATTGTGACAAAACGTAAAACACTTGGTATTTCAGCAAAAATAGTGAATGATTTTTAATTCAAGAATTCATTCAAATGATTTAGGATATAATATTATTTAATTAAAAGAGTTTTCTCTTTTTTCCAGCTTGTAGCTAAAGATGCAACGGTATGAAAATATTTGTATGTTACGATTATCACCACCCAAATTATCACAATTAAATGTATTATCGTAGTATTTGGTCTTGGAGGGATGTTATAGGCGCAAAACCTCGCTTATAGCTACAAAGGACGGGAAAGAGTGGAAAGCTATGGTCGCCAGCATCCTGAATGGACATAAAAGAAAAAAGAAGGGTCATTTCAAAGGGTGGCCAGGGTGTCACATAGTCAGCGTGGAATGTTTTCACACACACACGCACGCACGCACGCACGCACACACACACACACGAGAACTAATTTTTATTTGATTTTTATTGATTTGTTTTTTTACGGCTTATCAACCTTTGCAGGTTATTTACAACTAGAAAATATTTTTAATTAGAAAAAAAAAAGTTTTATGAGATAATAATGTCAAGGACACATGGCACAGTGGATAAAGGCGTTGGTTAGATCCAGTGACAGGACCCAAAGAGTGTGAGTTCAATACCCGGTTAAGGCAGTGGAGAACTTTCAGAGGGAAATTAGCAGGAGATAACTGATAACTGACATCCATCAAACATGGCACGTGGAACTAGAACAGTCTACCCCAGTGAGCGAAATAAAGGATTCAGTTCGAAATTTCAACCACCTGAAGAAGGCCGGAGCGTATAACGTCCGAAACGTTGTGATAAATATAGCGACAAAGATGAGGACAATAGTCCGAATAATATAAATAATGGAGATAATAATGATTTATAAGCTCTACTAATTAACCCATAGTTACTGGGGCAGAAGAGGTGAATTCATACTTGTCCCAAGGGTTTTTGCGCGAAAGTGAATATAATGAGCAAGACTGGAATTAAAAAAATCAGCTCTCTGATTTCCAGTTTCGAGCCGTTACATATTGCACCGGCCGCACATCCAACCTTACACCTTCTTTGGTACTGACCAGGCTCGACGTTGCTTAATTTTGGTGGTTCTTACGGGAACCGGTGTTTCAACATGATATGGTCGTAATCCCCCACAAGAACTCATATGCTGAAATTAGGTATATCCACGTTTTCGCGGGAAAACAGCTTAGCATAATGAAAAAGGCCAGAAACTTAATAAAAACAAAGTTTTATCGTCAAAATGTTTATGTTATTCCTAAGATGAAAGACCAAAGTATTTTTTCTTTATTTTTTGAAATTTTTAATCCTTTTATATATATATATATATATATATATATATATATATAGATAGATAGATAGATAGATACACCTAGTGAGCCTTTGTCTGGCTCACTAGGTGTATCTAGGTCTGCTCTACGGTTGTATTGAGCGCTTTTTGTTAGTTAGTTGTTTACTTGTATCGGGGTTTTTTTTTTTGGGCTTCAGACCTGCATCTGTGCGATTTTTTGTCGACAGAAGTTCATGTTTGTAGCTCTTTCTTTTTTTAAAACCTTTTTCTCCTCGAGATTGATTTGATTATTAGCAAATCAAAAATTCGAGGGTTTTTCGAAAACGAGTCTAGTTATCTATATATATATATATATATATATATATATATATATATATATATATATACTACGATTAACAATTTCGAGCCATTATCCGTTACACCTTTGGTATTTCAAGCGGTCACCCATCTAAGTACTGGCCAGGCTCGACGTTGCTTATTTTGATCTTATGGAAACCGATATTTCAACATGATACGGCTGTAATCCCACACTAAAACTCATATGCTGAAACTAGGCACCTCCACTTTTTCGCGGGAAAACAGTATAGCATAATGAAAAAGGCCACAAACTTAACGAAAACAACGTTTTATCGTCAAAATATTTATGCAAGTTGAAAGACCAAAGTATTTTTGATTAACTTTTTAAATTTTTTAATCTTTTATATATATATATATATATATACACTACAATTAACAATTTCGAACCATTATCCATTACACTTTCTTTGGTATTTCCAAGCGGTCACCCATCTGAGTACAGGCCAGGCTCGACGTTGCTTAATGTTGGTGATCGTACGGGAACCAATATTTCAACATGATACAGCCGTAAATCCCCAACCCGAACTCATATGATGAATTTATGCCTAGTTCTGTCGTCAGATAATGTTAGGTAATAAAAATAATGAGTAAAGCAATAAATCTTGTCTAAACATTATTCCGACATTTTTCAACGGGGGTCTGCTACACAATTGTCCCTTTTCATTCATTGGCCCTCCTAAAAAGATAAATAAAAATGAATTATCAAAGGTGGGGGTCATCCAAATGAGAAAGAAATGGTCAGGCGGAATCAATTTTAACGATGAAATTCTCAAAGCTTATCACCAGTAAAAAATGCCAATTAAATTTGAAACGATATTTCTAACCTTTGGGATGTTTATCACGGTTTAACATAAAATCAGTCACTAATTGCATCATTACTAGTAAATAATTCTTACTATTATAACTTCTATTGATTTGCCTTAGAAATAAAGAAAAGCGTACTGAACTGTTATGCAATATCAATCCTCCTATATGGCAGTGAATGCTGGGCGATTTTCTCACATATGAAGAACTGGAGTTCATTTTGTTTATTTCTGATTTTAAGTATAAATGTAATTTTTGTTTTAATTGCTCTTAAAAACTTCTTCATTGCTCACATGTTCTGTCTATGGTATGCTCAGTATCATTTTGTGGAACATGCGGTTCCGTAAAATGATACTGAGAATACCATAGACAGAACATGTGAACATGAAGAAGTTTTTAAGAGCAATTAAAACAAAAATTACATTTATACTTAAAATCAGAAATAAACATTTGAAATATTTAGGGAAAAAAAAAACGAGGAGAAAGAACTTAGGAAATTCCACACCAACAGAATACAATCTATATCTATAATTTTCAAAATGTGTGTGTGTCCGTGCGTGTGTGTGTGTATGTGTGTATGTCTGTGATCGGATGTTGTTTATGAGTTTCCACAGTTTTCATCCGATTTCGATGAAATTTTTTTTGTCTTATAGATAATTCTTCAGGTTTTGAGGCCGAATTGGCTGGAAAAATTACAACCTTAAAGGTGAAAAATCGAAAAACTGATTTTTTACACTTTGCGCAAAATTTAATGTCTCTAAAAATAGCGTACAATAAATTTAGAGAGTTGAAATCTAACGCAAAAGATTATTAGAATTATAAAAAAAAATTATTATAAATAAAAATTATCGAATATTATTATGACGGTTCAAGGAAGAGGTTCCTTCCTTAAAAGATTGAGAACGCAAAAATGGTCCTTTATAGGGCCACACCCCGTTCAAATTGTTAAACTCCCATTTGGGGATGTACACCCAGTTGTTGTTACTAATATTGAGTTTCGGGTGGATTGACTTTAAACTTAAACTGCTCCAATTGAAAGGCAAAACTTCCCAGCAATGAAAGACCCGGTCAAAAAACGGGTTATACTGCTAGTATATATATATATATATATATATATATATATATATATATATATATATATATATATATATATATGGTCAGCAACCTTTCTTTAAAATATCTTTCCTAAAATATGAGGGACAAGGAAATTTTTTATTTAGTTTTTCCAGCGTTCTTACATTTTTCCGTTTGGTGGGAGTGAGGAAGTACAAAAATTATCCATATCGTTCATTGTCCCAAGCGCAATATACATATATATATATATACAAAATCCGTTTATACTTACGAATAAACTTCCGTGTAATGATGTTAAACGAAAGTTATTTAAATATATCAAATTAATGAAACTTGACTATAATCTGATCTTTTTTGTTAATCACTTCATCCAGAGCAAGGTAATAATGCCACTAAGACGAAAGTGGTTACTAGGAGTTGAAGAGAATGAGAAAACGTTAGTGAGGAGAAAGGACAATAAAAGAACAGCATTCAGGAAGACAGAAGATGGCGATTGACGTTGCATTTAAATTTTTGAAGATCTTAGGTGGTAGGGAAGCAAGCAATTGTAAGAGAGGTCCACAGGTGAGAAGTACGAGAAAAAACTATTAGAATAGGACTTACGGTTACGTCTAGCTAGTTCACCAGTAAAACAATGAGACCTAACTGCCAATCTAGTAGTACGCTTATAATCATGCGGTCGAGGTACCAAGTAGAGAGCACATTAGAAAAACTACAATGGAAATATTTCGGCTGAAACGTTGTGATAAATATGGCAACAAAGATGAAGAAAATAGTCCGAATAATGTAAGTAGTGTACATAATACCTCATCTCAGAAATATAGACAGATACTGCCATGGAAATATTTATAGAAAAGAAAGAGAGAAGCCACGTTACGGCAGCGGGAAAGGGACTGAAAGTCGAGATGCCAGGTCAGGACCGATAACATTACAGACTTGTTTTGATTTTCTCCAGTAACTCGAGATATATGGCCGGAGCAACAGATCAGATATGGCGGCCATATCAATGCACGGATGATAGATTTATAAGTGTGCATAGAATGGATTCTAACGAGGAAACTGTCTGGTATGACACAGTGAATCAACTTTCATAACAGCAGACCAAATTATTGATTCAATATAATCCTCAAAAGTTACTCTTTAAAGACCCGGCTTTTAGGGGTTTATCTAAAGTAGTGCTGAATATTATTCACCGAAAGAAGAAAGATATAATTAATGAAGAACATAACATCCGATATGAACATGGCCGAAAGAGAGAGAATAACGCTAATCCTTTAGAAAGCTGATGCATTTATTATTAGAATAGGCGTTAACGACTGAATAATGTCTTGCGTTCCATACAAATTGGATTGGGTCTCGCTGAAAGGATTCATAGGATATATATATATATATATATATATATATATATATATATATATATATATGTGTGTGTTTATTTAGACTAGACATATAAAAATAACGTATGAAGAGAAAATATGTTAAATGATTGTCGGACTTAATCCATTTTATAATATACAGTAGTAGTATTAATAGTAACTGAATTATTTTAAAAAATAATATTTAATGTTTCATCTAAGAAAAAAAAAAAAACAAACAAACAAAAAAAACTCATTTTCGTCCTCCGGTGTGCAATCTAGAGCATGGTCGTTACAAGCATGTCATAAACATGCTACGAAGTTCCGAAGATCGCCTAATGGTTAAAGATACGGAAAATGAGCGTATCGCGTTCAAATTCCAGCTGTGGTAGTTTGCTCTGCAATGCTTTTGTAAAAGTCATGAATCCACATATGCCTAGAGATCAGTTCAAGGATTACAATATTTATTTGAGAGGAGATGGACGCATCCAGATCTCTTTGTTTGAATAAATGTCATGAAGAATCCAGTATAGTAATATTAGTTGTTTCATTATAAGGAAACATTCAGCATTCGATGACCGAGCAGCCAGTTGCACCTGACAATCTGATCAATTGAGTAATAATTAAAATACCATTTGGAAAACTATAGATCCATCACTTCTTCCTTCAGCTATGGGTTAAATAGCAGAGCAGAATGGGCCCTGTAGCCTTGGTTGGCAATCAGTCTAAGAGAAGGAAAACTCTGAATTCAAACCAGTCTGACAGTACATGTGATACTCCTATGACCCTCAGGGGTAACGAGACTTGTGATCGTTTGGTTTGGTTGATTTTGTTTAGCGGCATAGCAACACCTCTATGGGCTATTTAATGCCGAAATCTAAATATTTTGAACACAATTGCATGCCTTCAACTTTAAACGTGATGAAATTAATACAATGAATATTATCAATGATAACAGTTTTAATCTGCATAATAGTCTTTTAAATAATGATAATAGGTATATGAAAATTACACTGAAGTCTAAACTAATAGGAATTGCCAGGTAGCTAATTTCGGCCGACTATCGCGAATTTTAAACCCACATATAGCATATAAGACGCAGGGGAATTTTAAAAGATATTTTAGTAAAAAAAAAAGTGCGTCTTATATTCCGTCAAATGCGGTAAGTAAAGTGTAGCAATTTCGAATGTTTTCATATGAAAGCTCACAGAGTACAAGGCTTGAAAACCACTCAAAGTAGAGGGTTGCTATTAAAATGCTTATGATGAATGCACGATATGACTTAAAGAAGAGGTGGCGAGGAATGAAGATTATGAGAATAAGGAGGATAGATAACAATTGACCCTTGACTAGGTTAAGATTTTAAGTGTTTAAGAAGGCATTTCAGAAAGTAACTGTTCATAAACATAAAAGACATTGCTAGTTAGTCCAATCTCAGTTAGAGATTGACATTCGAGACTAGTTAAAAGCCAGGATTTCCATTGTTGATTCACAAGGGAGGCAAAGCTTTCCCATTAAAAAAAACTGCCATAAGACGATCTTCCTTCAATGTGATCATGTATCGTACTAAGCTATGCTTATTAAATATGAACATATTTGTTTAAAAACAAAGAAAAAGTGCTGAATTGCTTTGTAATATCAACCGTCCTATGTAGCAGCGAGGAAGAGACTTCAAGTAACGGAGATATGATTCTACAGAAGGATGTTGAGAATATCATAGACAGAACATGTGAACGAGAGTAACAGTTCAAGATGTGCGCTATCGATTGGGCGCGTCAGAATCAAACAAGCACCGAAATTTAATTATCTCGGAAGACAACGGAAAATGTGGGACCAAAATTCAAAATAATAAAGAAAGATGCCTTCCAAAAACTCAAGAAACTATAAAGAAACACGAATATTTCGTTACAAAGAAAAGTGTGCTCAACTGCTATTTAATATCAATTCTCCTATATGGCAGAAATATTTCCACACAGATGAGAAGAGATATTTGAGGGAACACAGATGCGCTTCCACAGGAAGACACTGACAACACTGTGAATAATGAGGAATTTTTAAAGAAAATGGGCACGGAAAAGACACTTCTGCTTACGACCAGCAAGATACTGGAATTTCTGGGACATATTATGAGGAAAGAAGCGCTAGAAAATTTGAAACTCACATGACACACTGAAGTCCAGCGGGATACACCGAGTAACAAGTTTATGCGATGGAAGGAAATAACAAGGAATGGCAGGGATGATAAAAAAAAGAAACATTATTAAAAGCAACATAAG